TAAGCTCCGCAGTTATATCTACCCCAGGGAATCTCATTGTGAAGCTGTTACCAAAAGTAAATGGGAGTCAGATGAAGATAGAAAGAGTTAGCGATTCAATAAGCTCCGTAGTTATATCTTCTTGATAAACGCGTTTAGAAATTCAATTTTGAATTTTGAGGAATTATTTCTATTTTACATTTGGTCTGCGATGGCTTCAGTTAATTTATTACATTCGCTCGCTTAAAATTTCTCTTTTCCGATATCCGTTTTCTTAAATAACATTTGGAAATTTTTAGGGAAAGTAATCAAAAGTGCCACAAGGAAAATCATCAAGTAATGTTGTCCTTAAGACTGCAGTCACAACACCTGTTGAACACCATTGTCGATTCAGTCCCACAGTTTTCATAATCCAATCTAAAGGATTTTTGGATTTCTTTTAGGATCAAAGAATTGTCCAATATTTGTCACATTCTGTAACCATATGACGAACTTATCGTGTTTGCTTTGCTCTCGAAGAAGACAACTTTGTAAGGTTAGCTTGCAAAGCTCTGGTCTTAGCTTTGAAAGTGCTTTAATGCTAGGCATTACATTTCTTGATAGTTATTTTCCATTTCTAATGCAAGTAATAAGATGCAGTTTATTTACTTCTTTTTTAGCGACATTGAAAACGTCATAATGATAATATAAATAAACGTCGCTGGTTATCCTTCGGGGCGGCATGGTATTGCTTTTCATTCAAGTGAACTCTTATGCCCCCGCTACATGACTCTTTTATATGTTTATGTACATAAAAGTTTTTTTTTTTTTTCATTTTTTTATTTTGTGTTGTGTGTATGTAAATATGGTAGATATTAAGTCTCTGGCTAACTAACTGAACTGGCATAGTTCAGTATGTGGGTATCTGTGAATCACATTCTTCAACATACAATGTAGTAATGAAACAACAATAACTAAAAAAGAAAGATACCGACCATTATTGACCATTCAGTTGTATGTTGAATGTAGGCATATGACCGCCTGTCTGTCTGCCCGTCTACCTTAAATTTTCTGAATTTTAATATTGTTTTTACCGACTTGAGTTCAAAAACCAAATCTTTTTTTTCTTAACGGCGTCTATATGTAGTTTTTTTTTTTTTTTCTTGTAAAGTTTTTCTTTGTACTCCTTCTACCTCCTATGTACATACATATATATATATATTCGTGCTTTCATTGCAATATGTTACGTATATCGAAGTTGGTTAGTTTACAATCATTTTGTTGTTGCAAGCACAAAAATGGCGTTACACTGTATGCACATGCAATAGCAGCAGCAAGAACAACAACAACAGACCAACATAAACTACCACCGACGCCTAAGTTAAATGAAAATGCTGTGGCTGCTGTTGCTGGCTGCATTACGGCTCTTTGTCCGACAACATCCTACATTTAGCAGCAACTCTATTTTGTAGTTGTTGTTGTTGTTGTTGTTGTTGCTGTTGTTGTGATTGTTTTTATGTTTGTATGTAGATTCTCGCTATACTCTAACAATTCTTTTGTGAAAGAAATCAAGCAAAAATCAAAGCCTTTTTGCCGCCCATTCGCTGATGATGACGTCGTCTATAAGTTGGTGTGTATGTGTATGTGTTTTCTTTTACTCTTCCTTCTAAAAGTGCTTTACTGTTTTTATTTTCGTTTTTTTCTTTTTTTTTTTATTTCATCTTCTTTATAAAAGATCATGAAATTCATGGTTGAAACTTCAAGTGCAACATCATTTTGAGAAGTTGCCACAACAACACAACACTCCAACCGTACGTACAGTGTGGGTACTAATGGTGTGGAAATGTTCGTCTATGCATTTTTATTTTTAGTTTTGTTACTATGCCTAGTTTCAATTTATGAAAAAACAAAAAAAAAAAAAGCAAGAAAAAAAAAAAAACATTGGGCATTCAATAAGAATTGGCAGACGTTATGTCTGTTAAAATTTGTTGAGTTGTTTAGAAGACAAAACGAAAGGAAACGATTTATTTGCATATGACTTTTTAAAAACGATTTGAAACGAAACACTTTCGTACAAATTCGCTAATTTGCGAAGAATGGAAATATATCAAGTATAAGTATAATTAAGTACTTACCGGGACTACCTAGGAAGACAGAGGAATATAATCGCCTTGAGGCATCGGCATTTCTAGTATCGGCAGGTGATGACCATTCTCTTCGACACCATCGACCTGAAATAAGAATGTTTTAACAAAAATTAAGTTAAAGTGTTTTTGTTTTCTTAATTTTTTGTAAATTAATTAAAAAATAAAAACATAAGAAATAAAAAAAAGGAAAGAGGAATTCAAGCAAAGTTTAGTATAATTAATATTAGAAGAGCAAATTTAACCCTCTGATCACTACGATGCGAATTTTTATGGATGCCCTTTACTTATGTAAAAAATCTACTCATGCCTTTCTATATAGCAATCATTTTTCGATAGTTCCCAACAAATATATTTAACAACTTTTATTGCTGCTTAATGTAGAGAGAAGTTAGTGCAACCGTAACAACAAGAGCTAAGCAAGTTTTGAATCAATTATATCGGTTGAATACAAGTGCATGCGGACCGTCCTCAGTAAAATTATACTCGCTTTCGCTAAGAGTTCTTTTATGATATTGTTTCCAAAGGATAGCCTCTTATTATGTGTGCAACACAGTTCGAAATTCATAGTATATTCAATTATTTTGCTCTCGGTACGCGTTCGCGTACTCATTGGCACTTGGGATTAACTAACGTTGTGTCTATTATTATTGTACTCAACAATTTTTACAATTTTTAATATTTTCATCAGTAATTTATGATTTATATCACACATCATTCGCAAACGTTTCGTTTAATAGAACTACTCTAGAGACACATTCATTCAATTGATAAGAAAACATATTAACGATAACCTAATGAAAGTTTATACTCAAATCACTCCTTCTTCCTCCCACACAAGAAAATTTATTTAATGACCTTTTGATTGACTGGAGGACGCTAGCTTACCGTAGCTAATAAGGTTGCAAGCAAACCTCTCAGCTGTTAAGTCAACAATTACGATCATTTGGAATTACGTTTAGAGTCTATTTGGCAGGAAATTGTTGCATAAAGATGCTGCGATAATAAAACGTCATTACATGGTTTATCGATTGCCTTCTTTTATGGTTTACATACAACAATAAAAAAAAACAAAAAACACAAAAACATGTTCATTAGTTTTACAATCGTTCACCGTTCCGAGTGTTTTAGAAAAAAACCCCAACCCACAAAAGTATTTTGAAATTTAATTTCTTTCTAACGAAATTTACCGCATAAGCAATTTTATGTTTAAAATAAAAGATCGAATAAATTCCGTTTTGCAAGAAAATTAAAAAAAAAAAAAAATCAAAAACGTTTTGTTTGTCTCAAGTCGACTACTTCAAATCCTCATCGGCGTTAAATGTATTGATTAAAAGTAATGTTTAATAATTTGCTTTAATGATTTTCTAATGCCCATCAACCCACTTAAGCTTTATAATCCTTTACTAATCCTAGATGTATTTGACGCATATAATGACTACTTAGACACATATTACTAGACGCATACTACAAGAGATCTTCGACCATTTATATAAAGTATATATTGCCAGTAAATTTTCATAGTTTTTTCTCACTCACTCCAAGTTTCATCTGAATATTTTATATGTTATAAGTACTAACTCTGATCTGCTTAAAAGAACAGCGAGTTGTCTTTCAAGTTGAAAATGGGGGAACATTACAGCTTTCACGCCATTCCCACTGTAATGGCAAACAGATATAGAGACGGATCTAAATAATATATAGTAAGATTCGGGTTGGAAAGAGCGAAATTCGTGGCTATGTGTTATACATTTATTCAAGTTTTCATGCTACGCATTTCAAGCAACGACGTACGGATATAAGAGCGCTTAGCTATCCTTGTGGACCTAGGACACATATGGAAGAACTTCTACCTACATAGATAGGGTCTTACGATTAACCAAGAAGCTAAATATGACGAAAAACTAAAAGAGGGCAACAATTTTATTAAGAACTTTAAAGCAAACAACACTACTACCACATTAGCAGCTATTTCCGTTGTTGTTGTTGTTGTTGTTGTTTGATTTCAAATGACGTTAATAATAATTTATTTTATAACCTTAAACGGCGCATAAAAACAATTTTAATAACAAGTGGTAATATTAGATTTTCTTCTCTCTTGTTGCCGCTGTTAATGCTGCGCCGCTGCTGCGGTTTTTTTATCTCCTTTTTCTTCCTCTTCTTCCTCATCTTTTTCCTTAAACTTATTCAGGGTTTTTATTTTTAAGTTAAGTAACCCCTCGATATATATCGCAACACACCTTTATATGAATGAAAAGAAATAGCGAGAGAGAAAAAGTACAAAAACAAAAAAAAAAATATATATATATATATATATATAGCAAAAATCTTTTGTTTAACGTTTACATTATTTTCGTCAGCAATTCTTCGGTGAATAGCTCTTAATGGCCAATTTTCTTGGGTATAATGTGCGTATTAAATTTGATGTTTTTGTGGGGTGTTTATTAACGCAACTCAACCAAACTCACAAAATGAAAGAGCGAAGAAAAAAAATAAAAAAAAACAAAACTTTTTTTTTCTTTTATTTTTAAGTTCAACTACTGCTACGTCCCCCACAAAAAAAAACCAAAAAAATTGTAAAACATGCGAATGACCGGACTAACCTTAAAAATTAGAAAACCAAGTGTGAATTATGGGTGTTCAACTTAATGCCTAAGAGTGGTAGACATATTAATTACATAAATTTTAATTACACATTAGAATTGGAGAGAAATGAAAATTTAATAATAAAAAATAAAAGGGAAGAGATTCGAAGATTTTTTATACATCCTTAAAGGGCAAATAAGATAAACCTCACAAAAATCCTTTTTAAAGCAAAGCTAGAAAGGGATTTAGCGCTTATGCGCTAAAAAACTGAAAAATTAATATATACACATATTATTAAAAATTATTAAGCCAATTAGTCAATTTTTGAATTCTCCATTATATACATAAAGTTTCAAGGAAGATATAAATTCGATCGATAGCTTTCAACCAAGATAGAAAACTTTGTGGACACAACCTATAGTAGAATCCTATACCAAATTTTATACTGCCCGCTAAGTATTAATTGTAAAACATTCCTTAAAATCATTAGGTTCTTAGGTGTGCTCGATTTAGAACGACAGAAACGAAGACTACGATGAAATCCCAAAATCTATAAAATCAATAAAATTTACCTTTTGACTAAGAGACAAAAAGAACGAACTGTAGCACATCAAAGAAAAAGGGGTTAGTTGACCTTGAGTGTACTGCACGCATCATTACTTTGGCCATTGATTAGGAAGTCCCTTCGCGAATTAACTTGTACTCTCTCCAATGCAATCTTTTCCTTCCCGAAGGTGTGATATATACTTATTATAAAAGGCATATATAGAGAATAATAATAAGAATAACATTAAATAACTAATAAAATGATATAAAAAATTTGCATTGCAATGGAAGTCAGGATTCTGTGATGTTGCTTCTATTTTACTTATCCCACATTCTTAAGCTGATTATTTTGAGTTTTCTTGCTCACAACTCAACATACAATGTTAATTCAGTCCCTTATATCATTTAGTTGATTTACGAACTATAATCGTTTCAGTCATTCTCTTATTACGCTAAATTACTTTATCTCGTCATTTGTTTTATTAATAAATCGGATAATGCTTTTACTAATCCTTACTTTTTCATAAACTATCAACTATACTTTCCCACGCAAATGGCATTTATGTGTACACATTCTATAAATACTTTATTATATTGATATGATTATTTAATTCCACCCAATAATTATTCCATTTAGAGGTGAGACGTTTTGCAGGTGAGAAATGTAAATTTATGTACATTTGTTTATACCGTTCACTTTTCTTAGTCCACTAAGTGGCGTTAAAAGTAAATTTCAGAATTATTTAGCTTATTCCAGCGCACTTTCAATTAAACAAGCAATGATTCTTTCAAGGTGCGTTCGTCATCGAAGCTAAAGTTGAAGAAAGAAGAAGAAAAGTTTCATTCACTTTTGAATATTTTTCAAGTCTCGGCTAAATTTGTGTACGAAATACCTTAGTTTCTTTCAACTTTACCCACGTGATCAAGGCAAGCGGAATTCATTTATAGAAATAATACTTAGTTAAAATCTTGTTATTACTTATGACATAAATTTTTCAACGACATCTATAAGTTCTGCAATCTTTTCAAAGTTTTTGTCATCTTTTTCTGAAGGTAGTACACTCTCTATAGGCTACCCGTGAAGGGTACATATCTAATTTCACATATATTCCAGGCTAAGTAGACAAAAAAAAAAAAAAACTCTATATTTATTGGCATAGCATTAAGAATTTCATTGGCCGACAAAGTAATAAAAAAATTCCTGAAACCTGGCTTGGTGGTTTTTTACCTGTTTTCTAGCTGCTAAGAAAGAATTATCGTCTTTCGGCAAAATTAACTCCGTTATTCAAAATAGCCTTTACGTGGCTGCCTATGCGAAACTATTACGTAGCAAGCTACTTGCAATCTATGAACCGTTTCAATAATAACGGTTTAAAATATTTTCCCGAAATCCGCACTTCATTTTACGTTATTTACTAAAAAAAACAACTTAAGCTTAATTTTCTCATATATTTGTTTCACTCTAACACTATACACCACATAATTGCTTCTAGAATAAATCTTTATGCGTAAGCAGAAGCATATAAGAAAAATATTAGGAAATGTATGACAAATACTTAAATTTGTGCGTGTACGAATCAAATCTTGAGTATGCATGCATAAGAACTAAGACTTTTGCTAATAGTTTTTTTTCTTTTTAGTTTTTTGGTCTTTTTTATATAATAATCATTATCATGTGGCATCAGACATAGGAGACTAGAGAATACACTTAAATTGATGTTATTATAGTTTCTTTTATTTTTTTTCTTTCATTATTTTTTTATGCTTTTGCTAATAGACTCACGGTCACGACCCCCAAAAGAAAACTGTTTCGCACATAAATCTTAATAATTTTTATTTCGTGTGTATGATTTTTTGCCTCTTAGCTTTTTTTTTTTTTTTTCTTTCTTTTTTTTTTTTGTTTTTCTTGCGTTCACATAAGCAGTAGTAAAATAAAAATTATGGATTTTTTAAAG